CCGTACATGAGCCGCGTCTCATTTTGATGTTGCCGTTGCCAGAAGCGCCCGTCGGTATTGCTTTGATTTCCACCTGTTGGTTCATATTTATGTATTTAAATGCAAACGATAAAACAGATATTGAAGAAATGGAAAAATCCTTAAATACATAGATACATACATATCGCTACCTTAATATAGAAAGGCCCTATCTGCCATCGTCGCTGATATACAAAAAGCCGTAACTAACTAAAAATCGAAAATTTACGTTTTAATTGATTATGATGCATTTGATCGCATTATGTGGCCCCAAATCGTTTTATGCAATAAAAGATTTTAGTTAGTTACGGCTTTGTGCATTTCAGCGACGATGTGAGATAGGGCCTTTCTATATTAAGGCAACGATATGTACATATGTCAGTACGTAGGTACAATCTTTGGAAAACGTTGAAGACGATAAACGAAAAATAAAATCGTATATAACACTTGAGCTATAAACTGTAAAAATTAATTAACGAATATGCTGGAATCTCCTTTGATTGCCCCAATAAAGTTTCGGTTTGCTATTTAGGCCGTAGATAAATTTTCAAAACTAAAGCAATTCAATAACTGAATAACTCAGTGAGAGGGAAGACCAGGGTGTTTGCAAAAAAACTCCAGATGACTTGTCTGAAGGATGCGTCAAGCTAGATCGAGTATGCTGTATGGTGCCATTAAGTTATTACAAACTTTAATAAGTCATATGTAAGTATAACTTGAGAAGTACATATGCAAAAATTTCATAAATCGCATAAAGGAAATACATATTTGCACATGCGGCTGTGTACACTTCTGCGCGGCCCTTTTTCTCCGACTTGATCGAGGTTGTAGTATGCATTTAGGCGCTAGCTGTTAGTAGACGCCTCAATAATAGCAGTCTGCTTGCGAACACAAAACATTCTGATTAGTAATTTTTTTTCAGAAAGTCGAATCTTGATATTTTAACTCGACACTTAAATTAAGTAGTCATTCAGATATCCCTATGGGAGGAGTTTTAAACCTCAAATATTACCTGTTTCCTTCGCCGTTAGGCTGCAAATTCTTAGAAATTCGAATGTACATCTTTGAACAATGCATGGAGAGCCTTTGGGCCGAACAGGTTCAGTTAGGTCGCATGTTTTGCGAGAGTTTAAACTCTTTGTCGTCCCTTTAGTAAATTTCAATTGATACTTTGTCGATTCCCCTTTGCAGGCTAGACTTGATAGTAGTAGACTTTTGGTCTACCGCTAAATCTAGTTTGAGTCTGGAGTCTGCTATTCTTTTTGGTAGTAAAAATCTGTCTGTCCATGTGGCTTAGCAACATTGTAGCACTTTGTAAGTTTCTACATCCTGTCTTTCTGGCGTTACAAGGTAAGATCATGGCCGTTTGATTTTCTGTAGATAATTGGTATGCCGTCGCTAGAGAGGCATTTAGAAGCACTGCCTATTTGGTTGTAGCAGCATACCCAAAAACCCTTTGGGGAGCTTGTATGCTGCTACAACAACAACAACAACTGCCTATTTGGTTAGCTCGTCGGGTTTTTCGTTATCTTCAGCATCTTATGTCCTTCTTATTGACTTTGTTGCTTTCCTATTGCCTTCAAACTATTCCTCAAACAATTTATGAAGCAATTTATCTTCGAGTAGGTAATATATGAAAGCAAAGCCTTAAAGGCTGCCTGACTAGTCAATATAAATGTTTATTCGCTGCAAACTATCTGCCGCTTTTCTTGTTGCCTTAATTTTAGCTTCAGAGTCTGGCAACTTTAAGGATCTGCAAATTTCCGGTTCAGAGCTGTAAACCATAGCCTATACTCAAGCGTCCATTTCCGAACCGTCACTGTAAGCCTGCCCGAAATCATCTAGCACCTCCGCACACTTACACCAACCACAAGCCTCTATTATAGCTCCAAAATACCTTACGAAGATCAGGTACGGGATCGCACAGAAGGATGGCGCTATACCACAATGATCATACGTACTGAATCCAAGTTGAAAACGGATCTCACAGATTCATGCTAAACAATATGGGAAATCTTAATTTCACATTGATCGCGTAAATTTTGAATAATTTTTTTATTTTTTTGAGTGTATTACTCATTTTTTTCATACAAACAATTTGTTAAACATACATACATGTATGGAAGAAAATCCTCCAAGAAACATTGCCGAAAATCAATTTAAAACTTAAAATTTTTTCTAGAAATTCTTATTAAAAAGTTTTCAAATTAGATGAAACTTTGAAGAATTTTCATAATTTCCGCACAAATTTTTAAACTTGGATCTATTCGGTTTTTTAGAAGGTGCACTAAACTTAAAACAATAAACATTAAATTAAAAAAAATGCCAAACTTTTATTTTTCACCACTTTTTCCTTTTTATTTTTTATGGATATTTGAATTTGATCTCAAATCTCAATAACAAGGCCTTTTATTTTTATATACGTAGATTTACCATATTTTTGTAATATTTGTATCCTTTAGCATTAAAAACATTAAGCATTTGAACCGAACCGAACCGAACCGCGGTTCAGAAATACTCATGAATCGGTTCTTGAACCGGTACAAGCTTTTTCTGATTGGTTCGAACCACTGAACCGAATACCTGAATTAAACTAATGAAAGGGGTATTCATTTTGACTGGAAAAGGCCCATAAAACCCAAAAACTTCAAGTTATCCCTCTCTCGAAAATTTATTAAAAAAATTTTTAACTAAAGTGCTTTTGGCGCCGTTCGACAGCTTGGACGTGAAACGGATGACAAATTTTGCCAGTTCGGTTGATCGCGCTGCAGCGTTTCCAACTGTTAATGTCAGACAGCAAAAAAACATGGTATTACCATATTGAACAAAAGACACAAAAAAAGTAGGCATACATTTTATATCAAAAATTTGTTCAACCGAACATTAAACTTATATAAAAAGTGGTTCGGTTCTCATTTGTGGAAATTTAGGTTCGATGAATAGTTCAGTTAATTAGTAGTAAAAACGGCCAATCCGGTTCAAACCCGGTTCACGTGCCTGTTCCAAACATTTCGAGAAAAATTAGGCTCCAGAACACTTAAAGTATTAGAAAAAGGTTCTTTCCCTCAAAGGAATGTTTTTCTGTTTTTGGAACGACTTTCCTTCATACCTTATCAAGCGTGGTTTGGAGACAAAACATTTCGACGCTCTATTTTATTTAGTGTATTGATATTTATTTAGCGTAGTTTTTCGTATCGGAAACACCATTTACCGAAAAAAAACAAAAACAAAGCAACTTAACAGTCCACTAACCTTCAATTCGGGCACCAGCACAGCATCACCATATTGATCGCGTATAGTCACAGTAATCTGAGTTGGCCAGCCGTAACGCAAAGGTTCGGTTATTGTGTTCAATTCGCATCTGATTGGAAACGTGACAGGGAAATTATTAAAAGAAAGGACTAGTTAAAATAAAACAAAGAAAAAAGTTAATGACTTACTTATTCGGATCGAGGCGTGATTCCGGTTGTAGCCAAGCAGCCAAACGAGCGCCAGATGAACCCGGTGCACCACTAATGAAATCTTTAAGAAATTGACGTTCATTTGATTGAGAGCTGAAAGAAAAAAAAGAAATAAATTAATTGCTTCACACAATTACGCAAAAGTAGTCGATTCACTTTACATTTAACAGGTGTAGTGGCTGTGAAAATTTAACGGCCAAGTAGACGAAAATAAAAAAAATCAGCTATTATAAGAAAACCCTCGATAGCGGAAAATCTTCAAATCAGAATTTCATGTCTACAAATGGGAATTCTAATTGTAATTCCGAGCGCGACTTAGGCAATCATTATGAACAACAATTTGAAAACCATTTCCCTAACTGGCTCAGCGGCGGCATTCACCTTTGTTCTTTATGGTTTCTTTTTAAAATTTCATTTTAATATATTTTTTTTTCAGAGCATTAACTACCTTACACGTGGATTGTTGTGGGAATAATAAAGCCTAGCCTTTTAGCCCTTTTTGTGATAACAATAAATGCACTGCCTTTAGTTCACCGTCAAACTGTCCGTTCGCTGCTTCGAAGTTTCCAAGCCAACAGAAACAGCAATTAATAAAAGTTCGGCAGAGCCAAAAGCGTTAATACTACTTTTGTAGGCACATACTTTCAACATACATTTCTACAAACATGTGTATGAAGTTTTTATATATTCCTATGCATTTGTGCAAATGTTTATGTATATGCGTCCAGCTATAAATTGGTAGTTATATTTTTTTCGGTTAACTTTATGGCTGCTCCCTCGTCGTACGTCACAAAGTCAGTGCAGTTGAAACGTACAACACCGCATATCCCGGCGTGCGCAGGCGCTGCTCTTTTCTTTTCAGTACATTTATTCCCTTCAGCCATCATATTGAGGCTTTGGCTCATAATCGCCGTACAATCACTGAGTTATTCCACAAATGATCAGTCCACAAAGTGATGGGAACGTGTCGTACGTGCGCAGACAAAGCAAATGGCCAGAGGAGAAAACAGGCTGTTTGACGTGCTTGGCACAATAGCAGGAGCAGTGATATTTCGTGCTACACACACACAAACACATCATACATACATATGTATATACATACCCTGTAGTCAATATACCTTCTAGTAGATTAGCTGTTATACCTTGATGCAAAGTCTGACTAGTTCTTTAACAGGTGCATAAATATAAACTAATGCAGACAATTTTAAATTTCGAGGTATCAATGCCACAAAGCAAAATTAAAATGGTTTTGCCCCCTCAACTGGTTTAAACTGATGCAGAGTTTGTCATTTCATAAATGCTACTGCATGGCCTAACAATTTACAATTCATAGCATATCTTTGTGTTAAAGATACCGGCTGCTTAATTAAAAAATAAAAATAAAAACTTTGTAGATAGCTACAAACAAACTTGATAGTATGATTTAGATCTAGTAATTTTCTCTGCAGGGTAGTTGCTTCTGTCCACAATTTATGTATTATGTATGTACATACATATGTACCTTAAAAAGTAGTAAATCGAACACGGAGTGCATGAATGAAGACTATAACCCGCCTCCTCTGCGTAGCTAAAGCTGATCTCAGCTGGATATGTGTAGAACAAATTTGTGTTTTTATTTAAGAGCGAAATACACCACACAAGCGGTTTGACAAACCAAGCGA